GCTTGCACAGATGGTTGAATTATATTTGAAGTATGTAAGCTGACCAATCAAAAAGCAAGAATCCCATAGGTATATCTCAGCTACAAATGTTGAAGTTACTCTCCAAGGCAGCCCTCGACCCCAGGTGAGGGGTGACGGTCCTAAATCCTGCTCCAACAAGCATTCAACCCTACAGCTCGCTCAACTGACCCTCAGTGGAAACATTCCGATATCAACGTTTTTCAAAGCAGACAGATCTCAGTCTCTATTGACAAATATTGCTGATATACACTGAGTGGCCAGTTTATTATGACCACCTGACGTTTGTAGGCAAATTAGCTATAATTTGGTGCTGAAGTTGCTAGAGGGCCAGACAATTATAAATAGGGAAGCAGGTTGTTTACCACGACAGTAGAAGTGATTTGTTTCTGAAGATACGGGGAAACAACGCAATTTAACAGCCTTTGAACGTGGGATGATTGTTTGCGCTCGGAGCCATGGGGCGAGTATCAGCAAAACAGCAGCATTCGTTAAATGTTCAAGGGCAGCTGTTGTTAAAGTGTTTAAAGACCGGACTGTCAGCCGAAAATTCGGGTCTGAACGTGCGAATTGTGCCCGTCAGCGACTAGTCAATGTTAGGGCAGAACGGAGAGTGGCAAGACTGGTACAAGACAACAGAAGGGCAACAGTGCAGTGTCAGATTCCTCGCATCACCTTTCATCATCTCGTGGAGTCACGAGGCGGCCCAACAAAGTCATCTCATGGAGTCATCTTGTGGCCCAACGAAGTACTGATGGGGTGGTCATAATAATCTGGCCACTCAGTGTATGCTTACAGTATAACACATAACAAGGGATGTAGATTTGATGCTCCAAGCCAGACCCTTGCTGATTGTTCAACCCCTTTACACGCAGGCCAAGCTGTCCAACAAAAGTAGGGGCCTATTCAGCCCAGACACTATGCCAATTGCACAGTAGGGTGCCGAACGCTGCATTGAAAAAAAGTTAGTAAGGCACACCATCCATAACAAAGCAAATTGCTTTGTCTTGCATTGGGGCGGCTCTGGAAACGGCCAGCGCAGCTCCAACGCATATGGTGTGAATGAACCCTGACAGTTACAGTATTAATACAAACTACTATACTGACGGGGGGGGGCTTACAGCACTCGCCTTTACTTATGCCGCATACGCAAACTCTATCCAAAACTACATGTCTATGACCCCGTCCACAGGGTGACAACAGTGCAAAATGAACAGCGCTGGCACCCCATTACAGGAAGATCAATGGGCCTATCGGACGCATCAACAGGTAATAATTCCTGGGGAGGTGTAGAAAAACAAAACCAGCCATGGTAAAGAAAAACTCCAGGAATTGTAAGAATTAACCCTTGTGGGGCTACCCCGGCACTACAAGAGTAAAGAGCTCATTTTAGTCTGGGTCCGGAATGAAAGAAGATACACTCACCTGATCCTGGGTCCTGCAGCGGTCAGCACTCGCATCCCTTCCCTTCCGCTCCAGCACTGGAATGTCCAATGATGTCACAGGTGTTTAGACTGCTGGAGGCTGGGGGTAGAAGAGGCTGTGGGGACCGGTCTCAGGGGGAGCCGAGGATCAGGTGAGGATTTCTTCATTCTTTAAGCCCCCTAGACCAAATCGAGTAGTTACCCCACAACCGCAGGGGTTCATTTTTACAATTCCTTTAGTTCCTCTTTAATGCGACTGCATCATTTATATCATTTTTGGATTTGCCTATAGTCCTACTTCAACTGCATACCTGCCAGTGGAAACATGCAAAGGTAGAAAGAATTGCCCATATGTCTACTGGTCTTTGAAGAGACATGTGCTCGCTTCGACTTGCAAATAGCCTTGGTAACAACACTGTTAAATCTGAATTGCGGAACCTGGCCTTGGGGTGGCAGGCCCTGGGTACGGTGCTGCGTCGTGTTGTCATCCGTTTGAATGGCACCCCACCTGTTGGCGACCTGGCTCCTAGTATTTGGCGCCTGACAGTTTCTTAGGTCTCTTGGGGACTCTATTGGTGAGCTTTCTTTCCTTGCTTGAGTTCCAGGGTCCATGCACTTCGGCCTTTAATAGGGGTATCCACTGCACATGGTGAAAGAAATGCGCACAAGGTGTGAAAGTGGCTCAGAGAGTGTGTGTGCAGTCTTATGGCTAACATACTGAACAAGCTTATTCGAGCTACGGTCATGCGCAAATGCAGTAACCCATAGCAACCAAACGCCCTCGGATGCCGACTAGCTGCTATGGGTAACTGCACTTGCTGCTCTTTCGTTCCACCTTAACTAAATCAGCCCGACAAAGTTTTTAATATCTCAAAATTCAATTACCCAACTGAATTAATAAAGCGATCAAAGGTACACACTGTTTAATCATCGCCGCTTGTATCTCACAGCCATTGGCACAGCTCCCCCAGGTCGACTACAAATTCCAACAGAGCCGACCCGCGCCAGAACTGTGCGAGAGAAAGCTAGGATTGATCGCTGGGTCTGCGTCTACATTGATTGCCGAAATCCGTATTCCAAATATAGATACGAGGGCCCGATGGGAGCAAGGTAGCAGCGTGTATCTGTAAGCTAAATGAAGCGGCGTAATGGCTCAGCGGAGGGCCGGCTACAGTACACGCAGCCAAGATCATGTTTGGGGAAGGTTTGCTACACAATTGCTTGCAGCAGAAAACGAGCTTTGCCTTACATCAACAGCCATCAATAAATTGTCAGAGGGAGGAAGTCCCGGAATTCTCCTACATACAGGCACGAGGAGGCTTACACGTAACGCACTGGGAATGTTCACTCGCTTTACATTTCTATTAAATTGAATCTGGTAATGAAAGCACTAAAAAGCTTTGGGGGTACAGGGGGGTCACCACAATGACTGCCCAATTAATTCATAGCAATCTTCTACATCAGTATAACAGTTCACAAGTCACAATCCCAAAATTTCACCTACATTTAGGTTTTTGCACCCCGTGGTTTCCTCCTACACATCCACACATAAGGCCTTTAGCATGACGTTGGTGGTAATATTTGGGATCAGTAGGTTCCATTATCTGCCATGCAACTTTGGGGCTTTCGCCCCCTTTTGTGGCTGGTTTAACATTTGGCACTTTTCACTACATTTAATGATCCTCATCGCTGCTACTTTTTAACCAGACTTTCCCCATTTTTTTATATTCTTGAGCACCAAGCGGATCAAAGTCCATAGAAGCGGATTCCCAACTGGCACAGAATATACAGTTTCATGATGATGACCCTAGCAGCAGATTACAAAAAAAATTAAGGGCATACATAGAGTGCTGGTGTAGTACAGAACACATTACCAGCAATCACAGTACATTAACCTATTACATAGAGTGGCAGCCCATAGGTAAAGCAAGATGTTGCCACAATGCATAAGATACAGTTACTGTGCAGAAATCTTCAACAATCATGCAATTACTGTACTGGGCACCGAGTGCCAGTCTCCGAGCTCATCTTATAAGAGGAGGCAATCATTGTACAGTGTCATTGTATAGGTTAACCCCTTGTGTACAGGGGAAGGGCTGCAGCACT